CTCTCCTGAGCCAAGAGTTTCTCAGCCAGCATCCCGACTCCAAGCTGGAGAAAGCCGACATCCTGGAAATGACAGTTAGTTTCCTGAGACAGCAACGCCATCCCCAGCCGGTGATCACCTCGTCCTGTTCAGCAGATGAAAATGAGGGCTTCTTCGGGTGTGTCCAAGAGATTGTGTGTTTCCTGTCAAGGGAAGATGTGAAGACACAGTCCCAGACGAAACTCCTGAGGCACTTTCAAACCATGCAGCCTTCCTCTGGTAAAAGCAGGGGTGACAGTGTCTTGTCTTGCCAAAGTTCACCAGCTCGTCATACAGCTATTAAAGAGAAGACGCCAGTCAACAGCGCCCTCTGGAGACCATGGTGAACTCAAACACACAGGAGCTCAGACAAACCCAACTGAACATGTTGATCTATGATGAACAGTTGTTCTAAAAGTGTAGGAAGTTGTTTCTTCCCCTTCTGCATATGCAGGAGATTTTTGGTACTGCCTCATTTTAATGAAATATTAAGCCTTGAATTTTTAGTACTATCGCGAATGAAGCAGGTTAAAATATTTTAACATTCCTGGTATCCCACTTATGGTAAATGTTTAGAACATGAATGAAAAGAAACATGTTAACACTGACGATTCAGTGTAATGGAATTTTGTTCAGTTTTCTTAATGCCATATCCTGTCCTTGTCTTGTTTTTATACATTCCATATTGTAAGGCGATGTAATGTAAAATGTTAATAAGTAAGACCATATCCACCATTCTTAGTGTGGCTATTTAAAAATTATTATTGTATAATAGTTTGTTTTATACTGACCAGTCAGAGTGATGTGTATATTTCACTGGAGTTTGCACGGTCTCAGTATCTACTGAAATCATAGTGTGTAAACCACATGTGATAAAATGTCTTTTATAAAGATAAAATTATTTACTTGATTAGCAGAGTCATAAGAATGTCTTTGGAATATTTTCAAACTATCCCTGTTCTTACGTATCTCAATGTATGAGAAGTGATTTCAGTTCCCTTCAGTGAAGGAGATGTTAACGTGTGAATGACATTTGTTGAAGATGATTTTATATATATATATATATATAAAAAGTTTGTGTTATTCATTTGCTTCTTTGTCTCATTTATAAAATCACTGAAGACAGATACACAAGAGTTACTGAAACTGACAAAATAACTAATGATAATTACACCCTGTTAAAAAATCTTTCACCGTAGGATAATTTGGTGTCGCCCACAGTTCTCTGATGTATTTTAGAGCAGCTGCCATTGTGCATGGATATCTTGTTCATGATCTTCATTTCTCATAATACTTAGAGAACCTCAGATCTTCTCATTCATTTGGTTATGTGACTCTCACACAAGTTAGATACACACAACAAATTAAAGGTAAAAATAAACTAATGACTATTACTTCCTGAATAAAAAACAATTTGTTATTATTAAAAAGAATTTCATACATCCTTAATGTCTCTGATGAGATCTGACACACCTGATTTAACATATGAAGATCCTATTTGTGACACCGATTTTAAGTACTTTGAGAAGCTCATGTGTGGTTATAAACATGATCTCAGGCACCTCCTCAGTTTCACACAGAGCTGTGTTAACAAGTCTCACCCTCCCTAAGGTCGGTTTTATCCCAGCCAACACCAAGGAGTCTGGATTGGACTAAGGGACACCCAACTACACAGGGAAGAGAAGATGTCTGTGTGCACAACAGAAAATGTGATCTTCACTGTATAAACAATTGGTCTAATCAATGTCAGCGTCAATGCCAATTTCACCATTTCTTGTGTTTGAGTTGTCGTTTCACCCTCGGACAAACACCCGTTCCTCATGTAGTGAATGTTTAACGGCTTTACGTGGCACGTTCGGCCGATTTACAGCATGTCAGTGATATCTGCAGCAGTCAAAAAAGGGAACGGTAAAATGTTTCATAAATGATATACCATGCAAATAATATATATATATATATATATATATATATATATATAGGTAAAAAATAAAAACCTTTTCAAAAGGCAATTAGTGCAAAATGTATAGTTAAAATATCAATATTATACAAAATAAAAGGACACTAAGTCTGGTAAGAGCATAAGTTACAGAGGTGCAGAGTGAAATACCTGAAGTACTGTGAACAGAAGTAAAATCAAACCTGAGTTCACTGAGAATGTCCTTATAGAACCAGGAAGCTCCCTGATTAGAGAAGGTCTTCCATGGCAAACTGTCCATTCATCTGCCACGGCCTCCACAGAGTTCCCTGACACTGCTGGTGTGACTGTGATGAACCTGCAGCAGAATTTGATATGATCTTGGTTGCTGCAGTTTTCTGGAAGGTAGTCCCTTGGTCTGTAGAGAAACTCCTAATGGCTACTTGCTCAGATGGTTGCTGAGGGATGTGTAGAGACAGGTAGCTGAAGGTCTCCTGTAGACAATTGCTGAAGCCCTTCTTGCCGCTTGGGCTGAACGGTCACCTCCAAGATGTCAGCCTTTTCCAGCTTCAAGCTGGGCTTCATTTCTTTCATTTGTTGGCATAATGATGTTTTCAGTTTGTCGATGCTGGCATTGATACGATCTCGGCGAATTTTCTCTTCAATTGGCTTGAGCTGCTAGAAAAAAAGACGAGAATTATTAGCCTATGCACAGATTAGGATTAGAAATGAAACACAGCCGTACAATAGATAAATTTGATATTGGAAGATATTTTCTTACTCTTCTCCTTTCTCGTGTACAGAAATCCAATGCTGTACTGTGTCCCTAAAAAGCTGTCGGAGGCATTTTGCAGGCGCTGCATTGTCTGAGAGTCTTACGACGTCAAAGACCGATAAGTGAGGAGACTGTATGGGTTGCTGTATTTATGAGCGGTTTTAGCATATGGGGGTAAAACTCCGACAGAATTTACGCCAATAAGTGAGCTGTCAGGTACAGGGGCGTCAGAAGCATTTTGAATGTGTGTGTGTGTGGGGGGGGGGACACTCTCATAAAACTAATATTTTATGCTAAACGTGTGTACGTGTGTGTGTGTGTGTGTGTGGGGGGGGGCTTTAATAACATCAGAAGTGTGACCCGCTGCACGTGTGACACGCCGGGTGGTAAAGAGACACCAGCACCCCTTTTACCTGGGAAAATCGTCACACGTGTGAAAATCGGAAACTGTAAAAGCTTTTGGATACCGCAGCACTGCGGAAAGCAGCTGGGGATTTTACTGACGGGATGTTTCTGCAGACACGCTCCCTCTCCTCCTCTGTCAGTCTTCGGCCTAATACTCCCATTCAATTTAGCTGCCCGTCGTTTTGATAATGTCTACTAGAAGGACTGATCACCCTGCAGGGAGCTGAGATACCGGATCTTTTCCCAGGCCGTTTAATCCGGTAATCCTTGAGATATGATACGAAACGTATAAACATTGTTTAGAGGTAAACTGTGGATATTTTACAGTAGTAAAATATAGTAGTAAACATTGATAAAAAAAAATACAAAGAAGTGACTTTGACATTAGTTAAACCAACATTAAACTGATTTTAGGGTGTTCACGCAGGAATTCTGTTCCGTATTGCATAGACAGGAACGGGAAAGCGGAACAATTTGATGACAGTAATAAAAACAACAGACAGCCACCGCAAGCTGTATAAGTTGCCCGCAGGCAGCTAATCAGTAAGCCCTAGCACTTCGTCCATCCATCCATCCATCCACCCGTCCATCTTCTATACATGCATAATGCGTGTCTTATGCAAGGTCGTTGGGGTGCAGATCATATCCTGCAAGCTATGGACGCACGGTCGGGTGTTCTGTCATAAAATCCTACCTATCGAGACGTGCTATCGAGCCTCTCTGCGTATGTGCAGTTCCACCGTTTTGGGATGAGGTTTTAGGGGTTAGGGTTAGGGTAAGAGTTAGGGGTTAGAGCTATCGATTAGCACTACGGTAGCATTTTTCGACAAGGCAGCATAAATCGACAGAACACCGGCGCCCACACACACGCGCACACATTTTCTAACAGCGCGAAAATAAGAACAAAATATAGCGTTTTTGTTTTATATTCTTATAATGATGCTTTATGGCCCTTTCAATTTTAACTCGACTTTTCATATCCGTTTGAAAAGTGCAGCCCTTTGCAATCGCTTTACTGATTACTCCTCAGGTAGGGGACAAACAGGTGCACGCGCCGCGCCGTCCGCGCGGGTCTCACTGCGCAGGAACTTCGTTTCCCGGACGTCACTCCGCGAAATCGGTCTCCCCCCTCGCTTTCCGAGTCGCTCAACATGGCGGATTGCAGCCAGGCTGGGAGCGGCCGCCACAGCATGGACAAAAGCATTACCCTCCCACCCGACGAGATCTTTCGCAACCTGGAGAATGCCAAGAGGTTCGCAATAGATATAGGTACCAGCCTGCGGGGGGGACTTGCGCTCCTCTTCCTTCTGCGTGTTGTGATTTTACCCACTTGTAGCTGTTGTTTGTACTGTGCAGAGAAGGGGAGGTGTTCGGTCGAAGCAAGGACTCGATGACATGCCCCAAAGAGGCAATCACATCGTTTTTTATATGATTTGTTTAAAAATGGCTCTGCTGTCAGCTTCAAATGTGTCCCTTCAGAAATCTGCAGGAATGTTTCCGGCATTGAAGCGAAAGCGGCACGAGCGGTACGCGCGGAGCCGATGTCATACCTATTTATTTGGCGTCCGGTTTGTTTTTACTTTGCACTGCGCAGTATCATGCTTTGCCATACTGTACATCATAAGCCTTTCTAATACTGTGCTGTATACATTTTATATAATTTAGTGCTTTCATTACCGACATAATTGTTATGCCATCGGGTGGCGTTTTAGGTGTTTTATTGTACGAAGCATTACGGTTAGGCCTGTATTTTGATTAATCGGTTTTTGTTTGCTTTCGAAAGTCGTGTCCAAAAAAGTTACATGTTAACTCGTGTTGCTGACCATCCTGAATATAATGCAAGATCAAAATACAATTAATAAAATCTAAATGCAATATTGCCTTTCCCTTTTAACAAATTTAAGTCGAAGGGCAGACTAGGAATCATGTAAGAAAAGTTAACGTAAAGATTACGTTGTAGACGTTATATACGTTGTATAGTACGTTATTCGACTACTCTAATTACGTACCGCGTTATATATTTAAGTTTTACACAAGGACGTGTAGCCCAGCAAGAGTCGGGTCGCCTTTGAAATTTAGTTCTGCTCCACGCACTTTGCGAAGCCTGTAGTCTGTCTCCCATTAAACTTAACACTAGAAGGTGGCAGCTTATCCTATCTACAGACCGTGGCCTGGTGTGGGTGATATGGGTCGAAATATCTTACATGCAGTAAGTTTTTCGACACACTATGAACTAAACTTAGTGTTAGTAAGAATAAAAGTGTTAAAATGGTTGTGGCATGAATTGTCTATGGTTTCCACTCTGTCCTCTTTAGAATCTAATTTTTAACCGTAATTACGTTGGTGTCGCGATGCCAATAAAGATTGCTGTCTCAACAGGTGGGTCTTTGACAAAACTTGCCTATTACTCCACAGTCCAGCACAAAGTGGCCAAAGTGCGATCCTTCGATCATACTGCAAAAGTAAGTTACCTGTCGTGATTTATTTTGTTCTGTTGAGTTTTCAGTGTTTACTGTAATTTTTTTCCTCTTACACCAAGAGATTTAACTGTCAAATGTTAGTCATTCAATGGCAAGCAACAGTACAGATTTGCTGTAGGGTTTTGTTTCCATCCAGAAATGTTTATTAACCGGCATTAATGGTATCAGAAAAACCAACATCTTTTGATATCTGCTTTACATGGGCTATTTGTAGTGCAGTAGGTTAGGACTGTACCTGTTATCAGAATGTTGTTGGTTCAAATCCTGTGGTTGGTAGAGTGGTTTAGCCGTTGGGCCAATGAGCTAGGGCAGGGGTGCCCAATCTTATCCGCAAAGGGCCAGTGTGTGTGCGGGTTTTCGCTGCAACTCCCTAATTAGATTACTAATTAGAGGACTGATTGGCTGAAGAGTCCTCACACCTGGGTTTGAACAGCTGACATACAGGTTATCCCAAAAACCTGCACACACACCGACCCTTTGCGGATAAGATTGGCCACCCCTGAGCTAGGCCCTTCATTCCCAGTCGCTCCAGGGACTGACTGACTGATTCCACTTTCTCCATTATATTTCGCTTTAGATAAAAGCATCTGGTAAACAAATAATTTACATAGTTTTACTCTTGATGGAAAGTCACTAATCCATGCTGTTCCTGTGACTGCCTCCCATCCAGACTGAGATGGTCACTTTGAAAATTAGGGATTTTGCAGCACGGCTCGTTCTCTGACCTGTTTTCTCTTCAGTTCTCGGCCTTCTGTGGTTATTGCAGTTCTGGGTTGAGGTTTGTTTTTGGGATGATCTTCCCCCCTCCCTCCCTACCGACCCAGCCACACACAGTCCACCTTAAACTTGACTCCTTACCAGATAATAAGACCGAAAACAAAAAGCCACCAATGGAATATGGAATATGGATCTCCTGCATGCAGATCCTTTGACACCACCGATGGAATATGGATCTCCTGCATGCAGATCCTTTGACACCACCGATGGAATATGGATCTCCTGCATGTAGATCCTTTGACACCACCGATGGAATATGGATCTCCTGCATGCAGATGCTCTGACACCAGCTCCTGCTTCCCCTACAGGAGGTGGACGGGGACCCCCTATATGAGATCTCCGTGCAGGAGGAAATCACTGCCCGCCTTCACTTCATCAAGTTTGAGAATGCTTACATCGAGACCTGCCTGGACTTCATCAAAGACCATCTGGTCAACACTGAGACCAAGGTCATCAAGGCCACAGGCGGGGGTGCTTACAAGTTTAAGGAGCTCATCGAGAAGAAGCTGAAGCTCAAGTGAGCATCCTAGAGCTGTATGGGGGGTGGGGGTGACTCTGTGTGACGGAAAAAGTGCTTTTCCAGGATTCAGTGTCTTATTATTCTAATCCCATATGCAACGCATTTAATTCTGCAAGTCACATTCTCAGTAGAGATTTTATTCTGAACCATAAACCTTAAATTGACAGTAGTTGGTGTGTTTTTGATTTTATTTAATGTTTGTATAGTCCTGTGGTTGGAGAAAAGTTGAACTAGCAGAAAATTCCCTTGAAGAATGTCACCCAACCCCAGAACAAACTGCACCACAACTTACCCCCTCTATATGTCTGTCCCTGACCCAGGGTGGACAAGGAAGATGAGATGTCCTGTCTTATCAAGGGCTGTAACTTTGTTTTGAAGAACATCCCCCATGAGGCCTTTGTGTATGCCAAGCATGCGGATTCCGAGTTCCGCTTCCAGAACACGCACCCGGATATCTTCCCCTATTTGCTTATCAACATTGGATCTGGCGTATCCATAGTCAAGGTAATGTTTGAGAGCCACATGACTTTGCTCACCTCTTTGCGTTCTTCCCCAGTTGCTCTGTAAAAACAAAAAAAAAATGTTTTTCCGACCAAGGTTGAGTCTGAGGACAAGTTTGAACGGATTGGTGGAAGTTCAATTGGAGGTGGTACTTTCTGGGGTCTGGGTGCTCTGCTCACCAAGACAAAGGTGTGTATTTGTGGGCCCACAATGATTGCTGTATTTTATGTGACTCTGTATTAGTCAACTGATTTCATGCAAGTCTTTACTCCTTCTCTATGCGGGCATTTTGCTGTCGTGTGCTAGGCCTTATGAATTTTCATATCAATACCCACTGTCAATTGCATTTACAGTGGTACCTCAGAACTCGAACTTAATCCGTTCAGAACTCCAGATCGCATCCTAAAAAATTCGAGTTCTGATCGAATTTTCCCCATAAGAAATAATGGAAAGCCAATTAATTGGTTTCCGGCCCCAAAAAATTACACCTAAATGTTTTTTTTTTACCATTTAAACACAAAATTAACAGGATAAAACAAGAGCATATACTGTACTAAACACATCTAAGCACATTTATCAAAACAGTAATTTGTAAAGTAAGAAAATAACTGTATCCAAACAATGTGTAAAGTAAAAAAAAAAAAAAACAATGTGTCTTGCCCTGATCGTCCGCTCCTTCCGCTCCTTCCGTGTGCCACGTCCCCTCGTTAACCTCGTGTGGGATCCCTGTGTGATCAGCTGCTTCTGGTTGTTGTCATTAGTCCTCTGTATTTCGTCCGCGTTTCAGTTTGTTTCCCCAGTCCGGTC